TTACATCTGAAGCATGGTGCAATCTGTCTCTTTTTGTTTAAGTAAAAAACTAAACAACTCATTACAGTATGACTGACCTCTTTTATTTATTTATACAACATTTCCAATAATCCCGCCCCCAGGGATTTATCTAATCTTTATCTAATGGACAATAACAGTAAAAGATGGACAGTATGCCGTAAGTAGCAAATAATACACATGTTAACCTTCCTTGAGTCAATGTTGATCAAGGTTTATGTTATGTTAATGGCAGAAATCACTGTCATTAGGTTTTGGGTTTTATTCAAATTCATAGCATCTATGGCCTTTTTGGGTAATTTTGCTGTCAAATTATTCAACATTTCTTGCTTTTTCATCTCAGAAATTAGGTGTGATTGCCCTGTAAATGAGGTCATTTTCACAAATACTTCTGGTAATAAGTAGGAATAGATTTGCCTTAAAAGGTTTAACAAGGATTTGGGGGATTTTTAATTTTTTATAAATAGTCAAACCAGGAGGACAAAAGTTGACAACACAAGGGTTAAATGAGAGGAATATGTGTTGTGTTAAGCAAGATTTTCTGAAGGTTACCGTAATCCTAGAAGCATACTGAAGAACTTTCAGGTCAAACCCTTTTGTTCTTGGTACAGATGTTGCAGCAGGGGACCAGGAAGAAGTGTCTGAAGTTCAGGTCTTGAACTCAGTTCTTGTGGAGTCTCTTCCCTTGTTCCTGGACTGTTATTTCTGTAAAGTTTCCCATTCCTCAATGTGCTAAAGGGAATAAAAACAATGTGATCCACGCAGATGTTTTCAGGACCAAGAGAAAGCATTGTCCACTTGGGCGTGTGCAGGAGTGCCATGTCCAAGAAAAACAATGCGAAAAAAAGCTCTTTATGTCCCATTATCCACACTAATGGTTCTTTGGGGGATACCATTGCTTCATGGGGGATAAAGAGGCCTTCTTGATTTAAAGTGGACCTATCATGCTATTTAAATGATATATTGTAGGGCCATACCTATATAAGGTATATTTATACGTTTCTGTTTTCAAAATACCAAACAGATCATGCATTTTAGCCATGCCTCATTTCGCTCTATGTGCTGTTTGCTGTCTACGGGGCTGATTCTGTGAGCTGCAGCTGACCACGCCCCCCTGCAGGAGAGGGGAGCCGTGCTCTGATCAAGTCAAGAGGGGGAGAAAAAAAGATCTCCATCCTCCGTGTTTTATTATATTGTTATAGGCCTATAGAGTCGTTATTCATTTGTTTTAAAGCCCAATAAATAACAAAGAAGACCTTTGACCGGCACTTTTCTAATTTTGTCCGGAAGATTTCAACTTTAACGGACATCTTGACCGGCGAAAGAAACTGAAACTGAAACTCTGCCGCACGGTCCCCTCGTTCCTTGGAAGAGGCGGAGAGGTGGGTGTTTGTCATCTGCTGGTGGACTAACCGGAGAGAATTACAGTGCTTGCCTCGACGGGGAGGGATTGCATTGAATTAAAGCAGCGGGAGCAAACGCTTGCCTCGGGGAGGGAGAAAAAAAGCCACAGCGGAGAATAAACAGAAGGGTAACCATGGTAACTATGGGCGGGAAGTCTTCTTCGCTGCTTTTGTGGCAGACTACAGCGCCACTTACAGGCCTGGCATATGTACTACAGCCTCTCCAGCGCTTTCGAGCGGCAATGGCCGGCCGTGGCCCAACCCCACATTCCCCTGATAGGTGGAGAGTTGGCCCAATAGCCGTAGCGCCACTTTACTGACGTCAGGACAGTGTTCAAATCTGGATCAGTTTTTATCAGATCCGTTGCAGCCCCTTTTTTAGAGATTTGGGTATGGAGCAAAATAGAGAGGGTTGTGTTTTCTGACACTTGGTGAGTTCCCTGGAACATCGGGGACACATATTCATGTATAAAAGACGTACAAAAGTGCATTTTGCATGATAGGTCCCCTTTAAAATAGTGTACGATTGTTATCCAGTTGCCTTGTATTTCAGCATTTCTTAAGTTAAAGGTCCCATGTCATGGCCATTTCTACTGATCATAATTCCATTGTTGAGGTCTACTAAAATAAATGTATATTGTGCAATTTTCCAAACTCACATTGGTTTCTCATACAGCATCTCTGTATAGTATGTGTATTCACTCTCTGTCCTAAACTTGTTGGAGCTCCTGCCCCCCCCCCCCCCCCCCCCCCCCCCCTCCCTGTGAGCCCAGTGGCCGTCTGCGAGACAGCGAGACACAGCTAAACCCAGCGCGAAACACACACACACCCGCAGCCTGGCTGGGAGTTTGTGTGTGTGCCCAGGCCGAGTTCCGCGGTGTCTCGCTGTCTCGCCGACCCCACACCAGTGAGCCAGCTCACAGTGTCCCGCTCCTCGCAGCAGCCAGCCTCGCAACGTCCCGCCGAGTGTGTGTGTGTGAGGAAGTCCGCGGATTGGTCCAAACGTAACGGCTCCGCGGACGTCACTATACCCAAGAAGTAAACAATGGAAAAAGAGAAATCTCCAACGAGGCGTTCTGGGGCAGCATAAACAGGTATTTTCTGTGTTAGAGTTTTACTCGCTACAGGGTGTACTTTGAGGGTTTGTGACTCTGCAGACCGTTTACATGCAGAAAAAGCTACATAACACACAAGGGGACGGGTGATAACCAGAAAAGCATGACATGGGCTCTTTAATATAAGGTAGAAAGTCTGAGATAGGATCGGGACTACAACCCTAACCCTAACCCTAGTTTAAACTAGTTATGTTATAAGAAGATTCAATGTTTTCTATCCTTAATAAAAAGTTAAGATGGGAAAAAACAATAATGAGACCCTAGATTTAAGAGCGTTTTATCAGAAAATATAAGCCACTATATTGAGACACTGCATTGTTTGTGCACCGACATCAATCAATAAGGACGGAACGTTAAAAGGTCTTTACACATACCACACCCTGAAGCCAATTAAGCAGGTCTCATTAACTTCAACATTGATCAGAATTATTGCTTTTACTTTAAGACACCAGTCAGGTTAATGAGAATTGATCTAGGAAGAAGATTGTTGTCGTAAACATTAAGTTAAGAAATGAAAGTCTTGTCGTGTCACGCAGGTTTAAGTGCATGGCTTCCCTCTGAGTTTATGAGCAAACACTCGTTGTGTCACATTAAATATGTACTTAAAGCAGCTGTAATCAATATTTGTATTTGTAGTTGATGTGGTATTGTAATTGTGGGGGAAACTTCTGAAGCAATTGGAGTCAGGACTCAAAAGAGAGACACGAGGAGAGCTGGAGCTTTGATGGTAAACACTGACGGTTTATTTGGAGTTACGGCCGGAGAATTAACACGACATGTCACGGGCCACGAGTTGACCACACGGTTGAGATGCCTTCTGAAGAACTCTACCCCAGACCTGTGTATTTAGCTAGTTCAGAGAGAATAATCAACATTGTGCATAACAAGATAGAACCATAACACCTCTATCAGCTGACGCCATCAGGCAGGAACAGGGAGACAAAACACTGAGAGCACAGCAGCCAAGGTTACCGGTGCGTGTGCTCAGTCAGGACAGTATGAACTGATAAACTGGGTCAAAGTTATGGGCCTTGGAAATTATTCCCTGACAGTAATGACAAACCCATAAATAATGATTACATTACTTGTTACTTGTTAGACGCTTTTATCCTAAGCGACTAACATACTCAATACTGTGGACAATCCCCACAGGAGCAATTTGGGGTGAAGTGTCTCAGGGACACAACGACATGCTGACTGCAGTGGGGTTTGAACCTGTGCTCCCCTGATCCGAATACCAACGCACTACCCACTGCGCCACACGCCGCCATTACCCAAGTCTGAAGTTCCCATTTGTTCTTCAGAGCTTATTTAGCATTTTTTTAACCCATTTTTGTTCCTTATTATTTGAAATAAATTGCTAATTTGCACATGTTTTTATGATAAGAGTGTCCATATGTAACATAAAATCATGTCAATATTTGAGCAGTGTGGACAGAAAATGAGGAAAATATAGGGATAAAATCCTTTTAAGCGTTTTTATCGTTTTAATGCCATTGAAGTTACGACTTTTGATCAGAATAACAGCTAAGGTGAGACGATCTCCCGTGTTTGCTCCGTAATGCTACGTGTTGTGATGTCTGTGTTTGCTTCCCCTGTCGCGAGTTCTGATCGCTCAGTGATGATACTAATACCTATATAATCTGTGGAATCTCAGCTTTAATCGGATATCTTGTATGCGCAGTTACGATAAGTAATAAGGGTATTTTTACCTTGAGTTCTGTGCCAAGTGCGTTAGCATTTTTTCGCTCAGGGGTCATTTAGACGCTTCTTATGAGACTTGTGTTTTGTTTTGGTAAAAATAGTTCGTACTGTCAGTTAGCGGAGTTTCTTCCCGTTAATCTGGTATGACACATTAATAGGTTTTTAAATATTAAGAAGCCCTCAGACACAGTTTCGTGAAGAAAAAACCCCGCAGCCCCCTCTACCGGGGGCTCTCGGGCTATACAGGTTAAGACCAAACATTATGATGGGGATTTGACCTTATTTATAGCCAGACACTTCCAACAGATTCTTTACATTTATTGGTTGTAGTTAGTTTGGGTTTCATATGAAAAAGCTTGTAAAAGTAAATGAGCACTTTAGTCAATCTCTGTTTTCAGCGTCCAGACGAGTTCAAAGTCATGTTGTGTTGTTTTGTTCTGAATGACTTTCCTCCATTAACTGTACTGTTTAGTTTTATGTGTATGACATTTGGTTAAGCCAAAGACTATTTAGACATTGTGGTCTAATTAAATTCCCAACTAACTTCTGTTTTTCTCATCTTTCTAGGGGTGTGTATTCATGTCAGATCTGCTTGGAGTCAAACATTCAACCAACCATAATCATTAAACTAATAGTGTACTGCCCCCTAGTGGCGGAAAACCATTACAAACCAGAGTTTTTACAGAACATTTAACACCCAAGTGGCCCAGAAGGTAAAGATGGGAGATGAAAATTGACAATAAAAGGCGATGAGTCAGTGTGTGTAATTGAAATCACATTTATTGTTTGTTCTGGAGTTTAACTTAAAACGTAACCCTTTGTTTACAGTACGCTTCTATCCTTTACTGCTTCTTTCTCTGCTTAATCTTTAAAGTCATCTCACCGTGTTTTTTACACTCATACACACACATACAAACACACTAAACAGCCGTTACACCAGCGGAGGCTTGTTCAGGTAACGTTAAAGGGAACTCTTTCGCCTGTATTTCCACAGAATTTAGCCACAAACCTGCAGCGTCCATTACTGTGAGCGCAGAATGGGATCAAATCTCTACAAGTGTTCCCCTTTAAGGCCTGCGTATTAGAGTCCTGGTCGTACCAGGACGTGACAATCACATTAAAATGTCTTCCTCACGTTCAGTCATTCGCCAACCTGACCTGCGACATTCTCACCAGCACCTTGGAGAGACTACAAAATAAAAAATACTCTAAAGATTCACCTTTGCAGGACTGCAAATACAGAAATGCACAGCGCAATAAAAAATACAAAGGTTGAAATCAAATCACGATAGAGGAATTAAGATCACTTCTTTTTTTTTTCTTTTAACTACCTCGCTAATAGAACTGCTGATAGCTCTACTAGCATCAACAGCTTCTTAAAGTACATGTAGTTATATAGTTTCTATACTTCGTAAAAGGTTTGGATCGAACAGTCATGTTACAAACATGGAGCCTTTGCTTCAGTCGTGGGTAGATATAAACGCACTCTGAAGCGGGGAAAGAAGAACTGGTTTCTGCTTTTGGATCGAAGGCGAGCAGTTCTCCAGAGCCCCGATCAAAATCAAGTTTGGTTTGTCTTCCATGTTTAATTGGAATAATCTAACCCTAAAACAGTGTGCATGTAGTGGATGCAGATAGTCCGTCCGTTTGTCAGTGGGAACTCGATAGCTGTGCAGAGTTTCCTCCACCATCAGGTCCAATGTAAACAGCTTTTTTCAGAGGCAAGACCAGGAAGTAAACGGACTCTTTGGCACACCTTAACATGACGCCGGATGCATTTAAGTCCCGTTCAGACTACAAACAGACCCTCATGTAGTCTGCTTTGAGCTAAGGAGCTGCTTCCCATCAGTAGGTTTACTTCCGTCCTCCTCTCTCGATTGGGAAACCAATGCACATTAGCTATGTATGTACAAAAGCATACAAACTACCACACATACACACACACGTTGCCCTTGTGTAAAAGTGCACCGCTGACCTATTTTCAAACATTCCAAAGTTCTACTTTAGCTTCAAAATGACCTAGCTTACCACATTCAGATGCATACAAATAAATAAATAAAAACTTGGGTAGAGCTGGGGGGAAAAAAGGCAGGAAGAAAATGGCAACACTGTCAATGGAAAGAACTTGAAAAGAGTAACCTTGACATTTTTATGGCCCTGCTTCTCCGATTTAGAACGGGAGCTTCATAATAACAGCAGCTCTGGAGTCGAAACGTCATAAAAAAAATAATATATCAATGGCATCGCAACATGGGGCTTGATTGTGTACAAATATGTGCATATAAGGTATTAATAGGTGCTTTAAGCTACATTCAAGCAACATGTATATTTTTGGGGGGAATTAGTTACATTACAAGTTACAAGGGGGTGGATTTTCCCTTTTTGGGTGTGCTTCCACTACTGGCTCCTTCAATCAATTGGAATTAGTCATAATTCGGCCATTTAAAATGGACGTTTCAATAAGTGCTAAGTGACAATGTTTTAAAACATTAAAAGTGCCTGTTTTCAAAATAAGTGTTACCACATGTTTGACGTCTCAACCGCAAGACTAGCTTAATTATAAATGTCTAATCTCAGTCAGGACCTTTGGGGTGAGAGGCTAATAGAAATGGTCAAGGTCTCACCATTCTTAGAAACCCACTGTTCATAAAGGGAAAGGAATGGAGGGGCTTCATTAACCCGGAAATCTCCCGTTTGACAGAGTGGTGCATCGACCCCGAAGCTAGCATTGTCCCACGACAAAAAGTCAGTGGTATTTTAGAATTGGATTTTCAAATATAGCAGAAAATAGAATCTGTGGCAAACTCAAATGTATGATACTTACATGTTTTGTCTAGCAGGATAAACTCCACATATTAACACCTTTTTAAGTAGTAAAATGCTAATGTTAGGTTATAAAATAACTACATCACGGTCATATGACTTCACATCACAACCGCTAAGCTAAAAGCGGCTAATGTTCGGCGTAATGACGATTAGTAGTCCCATTTAACCACTTGCGTGAAAGCTTTAGACATTTACAAGTAGGGTATAAACTGACCTATTTTTGGCAGCAGAATAAAATGTGAATATATCTTCAGCTTGTGTTAACCACAGACCTTATTTCAGGCATCCAACCATTCAAATAACGATTGACTTTGAGTCAACAGGAAGTGCCAAAATGCCATCTTATTCCCGGGTTTTAGGACTCATTCCTGCACCACTCTATGGGGGGAATACAGCAACGGTCCACGTCAACACCTGGACATTCAATATAAACAAGGCAAACACAAAACATCACTTCCTCTCTCCTCATGACTTCCCCTGTGCGCAGATAGTCGAGGAGAGCTTTGTTCCTATGCTAACGGGACTTAGTAACAGTCTAGAAAAGCTGCTTCAAAAAAGGTGCTTAGGGCTCTTTGGAGGGGGAGCACTCCTCCGCAACAACACTTTGTGAAGGCCAACGGAAAGATGGACGAAAAGATAATATAAAAAAGGCAGGAAAAACAAGGGGGTGGTTTTACACGGTCTGTGTAGGTAAGGGGAGACGAGCTGGAGAAAGGGTGGGCTGCTCCTCTGAGACCTTTAAGGTTTCTGTGGCCAGAGGAGGCGTTTGGGATCGGACGTTCGGAGCCGTGGTGCGAGTTGGGGTTGGGGTGGGGGGGGTACTGGAGGTACTGGAGGTAGAGGTGGAGGCCTGGGGGTCATTTACTGGGGTGGGGGGTTCAGAGGAGGGGGTTTTGGGCACAGCAGGCTTGGTGTAGTTCATCTTGAGGATGTGCTGCTGCAGGTGACGGATCCAGTCCTCCTGCACCGAGAGCGGGCCGTGAAACTCCACCTCGCAGAACCTGAGGCAGGCAGACAAACATGTTTTAAAGATCTCCTATCAGACAACATAACCACCACAGCCCCTTGTAGACCCCCACACACACACACACACAACAACACAGACTATAACACTCCTTGTTGTTAATCACCAACTATGTGCAATATGCGTGTAAATTCAAACACATTTCGAATACAATCCAGTTAATTAAATCTGCTGATATTTTAAAAGAGCCTGGGTTTAGAGAATTGATTTCATGTTTTAAATGAATATTTCTGTGCTTAGTCTGTCCAGTTTATTTGTAAAATATTCGTAAATAAGGCAGCAGTGTCAGTGTATTGTTTGCATGCTTTATTTATTTGAATGACTATTGCAAGTTGTCTAATGCATCTTTCTTGTCTTCACCTAAAAAGACCCATTCAGCAACTAAATGGAAGTTCGTTCCAAGTAAACTGCTGAAATAAAAGACTGAAAAAGTAACAGTCGCTGTGTCATTGGAGGCGAATCCTGTTTAAAAGTCCAGTAGATGTTTCAAGTCCCTTTCAAGTGGGGAAACTCCCTTTTTTTTAATCATTCTACTTCGGTAACATGAAGCTGTCTTTGGCTCTTTTCTGCTGTAACAATGTAAATGTCCCCTCTGTGGGACGAATAAAGGTATTCTGATTCTGATGCTATTTTTAGGCATGTATTATGGGTCTCAGATATATAAAAAACATGTCTGTGATGTGTTTTGCTCAAAATACCAAACAGATCATGCATTTTAGACATCCCAACCTGAAAACATGTTATATGGATATACTTCACAGAATCAAGTCAACCTATCAAATTCTATAAGAAAGCTGTGTTTTTTAAATTAACATGCCTTTAGGGTGAAAGAAGAATCCAGTAATGTAATTTAATGAGGGCCGAATTTAACAGCAAAACTATATAAAAACATCTGTGTACGACTCGTAAAATATAATACAAGTCTTCCTTCCAAACACATGAATTTTCCTTACTGTTTGAAACATATCGGACATGTAGGGCTAAAATGCAAGGTTATAGAAAGTCAAGTTTAATTGAAAATAGATAAGAAGTAGTGAGCATACGACTGGATAAAGGAGACTAAAGGAACTCTTTGTTAAATATTGTTTTAATATATATATGCTGTTGTTTGTTTTAGGATGCTTTGTTCAACGCGTCAAAAGAAAACCAATAACAGCCAAGGACTCTGAAATCAGTGTAAATCACTGCTTCTGAAATCCAATCAGACTGTCAAACTAGGTGGCTTTGATCGAATATGAATCAAGATTATGCTACTGCACTGTCTTTTTTTCGTCTTGAATGTTTTACCATATTTTAGTGTGGCTGTCAGATGAGGCCCCAATGTTGAAAACAAAAGAAAGCTAACCAAGCAGTGCCAAGAGGAGATTTTCTCATTTTACAGCTGAACATTAGACTCAAATAGGTTTCTGAAAACATTTGAGGCGAGAAATAGGAAATGCAGGAGCAGAAACTTGATTTCAAATGTAATAAATGCTGCCAAATGTGACAGTTTGATTGACTCTGATTGGTTGCTTTCCTTTGTGGAATCTTACAAACACCATTAGGATGATAGGGAGAGGAATTACAGAATATTTGTTCATCCAGCACTGTCAGGATATAGTGACAATTTGTGCAAACATGATAAAAAATCAGAGTTATGAAAGCTACCTAATGCAGCTATAGGGCTGGAATTATGTAAAAATAATGCTCCAAATCTCCATATTCTGTGGCTGCAGCAAAGCTTTCACACAAAAACTCTGGCTGTGTTAAACTCAGTGTCTCCCTCAGGAGCAGCCGATTCTGTTTTATTTCTGTACTGCAGTCGTGTCAGAACTTAAACACTTATTCATGTTGCCTGAATGAAAAAAATCCACAATGAATCAGTATCCTCAATATAGTGCACTAGCCACTAAAAGTGGAGTACTGCTCAGCAGGGGGTGGAGGTGCTGTTCAGGGATTAAAGGACTATTTAAAACGTAGCCAGACAGTTGTGTTCATGCTGCAGTCTCAAAATGTTAAAGTCTGATATCTCAGATGGTATACACTCCTGTTTGATAGCGCTGATGGAGTGCAGTGTGTGTGTGTGTGTGTGTGTGTGTGTGTGTGTGTGTGTGTGTGTGTGTCTGGGAGGGAGGGTTGGGTTTGTTTTATTTTGTTTTAATTTTATTTCTGTTTGTCTGTATTATTGTTATTATTGTTAGCTTATACATGTATTCTGTATTTTGTATATTTTGTAAGTAATTGCTGTTGTCTAATTTTAGTAATTTTAAAAATTGCTTTTGGTTGTACATGTTGTGTATTAATCTCAATAAAAATGTGATCACAAAAAAATAAGTCTGATATCTCACCGGCACTTCAGGGTATAGAACTTCCCCACCAGTTTGACCAGTGGGTAGGACGGGGGTTTGGGCACCAGAGCGGGGACGGTGCCTGTGCGGGGGGGTTTAGGAGGGCTCTCCGTTCCCTCAGGGCACGACGGGTGCTTTAAGGGTCGACGCTCGAAACCTTAGCAAGAGAGAGAGGAAACATCGGAGACATATACCCTTAATGTGCAAATAAGATTGTAAAGTTATGTGGAATAAACAGATGTACAAATAAAGAGTGTATTGTCAACATACAGTATGAACGTGGTAACACTTCATACACATACGAGTCTTATTGCCTTTATCATTTAATTTAAAACAACCAATGTTATTTTGTACATTTCAATTTGTACAGAAGACCTCTGATGTAAAAATGTTGCTGTTGTTTTTAATCCAACTCTTTGAAAGCATACCACTACCTCAGTATGAATACATTCAGTTGACAAAAGGTAAAACATCTGAAGAAGTGGGTGTATTGAATGCAGGCATATGTATCTGACTGAGTGCAATAACATTTCATAATAATACATTTAATATCTAAGCGCTTTTTCCGTTGCTCAAAGACACTTTAAAGTGGTGATAAGAAGGAAATAAAAGAATTGAATTAAAATATTAAAACAGCAACACAACATTATTCACACATTAAAAGCCCGCCCAGGTGTGTTTTGTTTTGGTGTATCCTGACGTACCTCTGGGCAGGCGGACGTTAAGCTCACTTCGTGCCACCTGAGCTTGAAGAGGGAAGTCAGCGAGCCGCGACGGGCTGCCACGATCGGGTCTGAACGGAGAGTTTAGGTCGAGACCAGATTCCCCTTCAGCGGTCTTTGAAGAACCTTGGCTGACGTCTCTGGTCAGAGGCCTCACCAGGCTCACAGCGAAAGAAGAAGACCACTGAGAGGATGAGGAGGAGGAGGAAGAGGAGGTCTTCTGCGATGAGATGGGGAGGATATGATCAGAATCCGTTGTGAGAGGAGAGCTGCTCTTCTGGAAGAGGGACAGAGATGAGTTTCCTAATCAGCATTACATTACATATCAACAACTGATACTTAAAACCGCAGTGGCTGGTGTAATAATAATAATCATATAATATCAAAGATAACTTGTGGTACTAGTAATGTCATTATAAGGCCAAATAATGCTCACAATAGCTGTCTCATGATTTGGTGCAGTAAACAATAACAAAGACTAGCGGGCTAACTAGCTTACAGCAGCAATCGTTATTTGCGTAAAATTCACAACAGCGGTGTACAGTTAAAAATGAAACACTACGCAAGAAAGTAAATAGTGATGAGTTTCCTAATCAATATAAAACCAACTAAACTTGAACTGTGGTATCCTTGTGTTATAAATCACAATACATTAAATATAACTTGTGGCACTACTTTTGTCATTATAAGGCCAAATAATGCTCACATTCGCAGTCTCTTATGATCGGTACAGCAAAGGATAACACAAAGACTAGCAGGCTAGCTAGTTAGCTTACAGCGGTAATCGTTATTTGTGTAAAGTTCACAACAGGCATGTGCGATTAAAAATGACACTACCATGTTGAAATACACACACTACGCAAGAAAGTAAATAGTGTACACAGTGTACTACATGAAAGTGTGCTAACAGAAGTATCTGAGTCGAGAAACATTTCTTGCCTTGCGCAGCGACTGTACATGCTAGGCTAAGCTAATAGGTTGTAGCTTTGTATTTATCGTACAGATATGATAGTAGTTTTAGTCTACTAAATCTAGGCAAGAAAACAAAAAGCCTTAATGTCAATAAATGTCCAAATATTCCTTTACTTTGCTGTAGAAAGGATTTTTTTTAAATGTAGCATGGTCATATATAAAATGGATCTTTTAAAAACATTTGACTAGTGGTACATATTTTTTAAAATCTTTATTAATATTGAAATTTTGCACATAAGATGTATTACTAGCTTCTGTTTTTTTATTTGAATATCATGTGATGTATTTAAAAGCTCCAAAGAAAGCTATCTTTGACCTTAAGTTAATATACATTCTATCCATAACAGGCAACAAATGTTATGTTGAGGGGCAACAAATGTTATGTTGAGGAATAACATATAATATAGTTTTAGAGAAAAATGTCTTCACAGCCCGGAAACACCTACAGTCCTCACACAGGTGTTTCCTGATTTGCTCTCGTCTGAACCTGATGGACGTGTCGAATCAATAATGCAATTAAAAACACCTGTGAGCAGAGTTCTGTGGTTTATTTAAGCAATAGCTCACGACAGGCCGTGATATAATGACCATATATCACGGCCTGAAGGGAGCTATTGCTTTTATAAAACGGTTGGCAACATGAAAGAAAAATACACACTCTAATTCAAATAGTTTTTATTAGTAAATAATGATGTTCAAAATAAAATAGTCCCTCCGTTGCCTTCTGCACGGTGGTTGCTATGGAACAGCTAGCGAACATATTAGACAGAGAGCGTTGATCGATTATTTGGCTATTTATTTACATTAATGTGTATGTTGCCGTTTATTGTGCACCCACTGAAAAACTGTCCAGCATCAGTAGCATGGCTTACGTGGTTACTTGTATAGGTTGAGGTTGTTCTAGGCTGTTGCTTGGCGTGGCGAGAATATTGCTCCACTTTCTCCGGTCCCCGAGATTCGGCTTCCAGTAGCTCTGGAGAGAGCTTTCGCGCCTGTGGCCACTAACGGTCATAATTTCTCTGCTTTGTTTCAAGACCCGCATCAGAAAGCTTTTGAATAGTGATACTTTTCCAGTTGGTCTACCTGCTCTTCACGTAGCTCTGCATGTCGTCGTTTATGGCGCGTTTCCACTACAGCGCGGAGCACGGTTTAAGAGGGCTGTGACGTCAGCGGCCCGTCTTTGGTTGCGTTTCCACTTGGCCTAGTACCGGCCGGCGGGTCCTAATTCACAGTTTTTCTGGCCTCATAAAATCGTGGGTCTAGGGCCAGAGACAACGAGGCTGAGTCGGGCTGAGTATGCTAAACTAGAGAGAGAATCGCTGGCAAGGGGGCTACAACTACAACAAGATGGACATATTTGACCGTGATTTAATTGTAATACACGTTTCAAAATGATGCCGAAGTAACAACATACTGATACCGGTTAGTAAAAACCATGAATTAATGCTTTGTCAAGTCTGCAGACAGACGGCAGGCGAAAAACCTTTTAAAATGCGTGTTTTCTAAATGGAGATTGGCTAAGCTAACGCAGTATATGCTCCGACCGTCCACACTCACAACAACGGCCTATACAGACATAAATAAAGCAGCGACTGTATTCTCCATGACACAGGCAGTCTGTGGTTTGTACTTGTTTAACTTTTGTCTAGTTTCTGAACATATATGAGGAGCTGTGAGCTCTGAGTGCTAACAGCTAACGGCTGTGTTGTTTTTCTGGGGTTCTCATTGAAGATGACGTCACGGCTCCGCCTACACTGCGTTACTATAGATACTACCCCAGTTCCTAAACTGTAATGGAAATGCGCCATAAAGTGAGCCAGTCCTAACGAGGCCTAGCCATACCGAGCGAGGCCGAGCGAGGCCGTGTAGTGGAAACGCGCCATAATGTGGTGCTTTCTGGAGATAGGCACTGCTCAATCCACTCCTCCATAGTAAGGCTACCCCGGAGGACGAAGTTAACATTAAATGTTTCCATCTTAAGCTTTGTTAGTTAGTTAGTTTCGTAACGGACGTAATGTAACAGTTGTAACGATTGTAGCTGTTTCTCAGACGCGGAGGGATACTGACTTGTGAAAAGTAACTACAATTCTACCCGTGATATACGCTCATTATATCACGGCTAAGAACCAATCAGATTGCTTGATTTGACTTGTCCGTTTTATAAACAATCAATATACATCTACCTAAACAGAAGGGAACATCTTAAATTACTGCTCAGTTCACTTACTCATCTTTTAGTATGAATACACTTTGATATGCAGAAAGCTCCAGATCACAATCGCTCCACAAACAGGTAAGACGATTCACAGAAAATGAGCTTTAATCACAATTAATTAATACTGTAGCAGGAAAATATCTCAAACATGATGTGGTTTCAGATTGAATATCTTAAGCTTTGGATTGTTGTTCATCCATGGACTCTGGGAAATAGGAGTGTGTCCATGTTCCCCAGTTTAATAATCTCGTAAGCTTTTGAAAAGGTTTTATAAAGAGCAGGCAACATGGGATCCTTTTTCATGGTCCCTTTATTTGCCATTTAAATCAGGGCGACATAGGAATGACCCCTTGGGAAATTATGATGGAAATGTTTCACGACATTTAATTGCAGACCTACAACTTTGAATAGCTCATTATTATTTTTAATGTCGATTAATCTGCCAAAGGTTTTTTAAATGAAAGAGGCCATATGATGCTTTTGGGGGTTTTCCCTTTCCTAAAGTGTGTAAGCATGTAAATGGTCTGCAAAGGCTAAAATCCCTGTGTTCCCCTCTGCCTGAAACGCCTCAATTGGACTCCTTTGTTTACTTCCAGAACATGGTGACATCACTATGTAACACTCTGCTATTGTCTAGCGCTCCAACACATTGTACGTGATAGGCTAAGAGGCGGGACATCTCTAAGCACAACAGAGCCGGCCAGCTAACCAATCAGAGCAGACTGGGCTCTGGTTTCAGACAGAGGGTGAAAAGTGGTGCTGCAGCACAGGCAGTATGAGAAAAATAAAGAGCTTTTTGAACATTAAATCATGGAGACATGTAGAGACAATACATACTGATATGAACCTAACCATGAGCAGAATAGGACCCCTTTAATCATTCAGGCTATACAAAATCACAATTTCCTAGAGGATGCTTTCCAATGTATATTTCTGTCAAAAGCCTTAAAAGCTGCATTTACTCTCTTTTTTGCCTGAAAAAGGGTTTATCACACATGGCTGTAGATTCATTTCTGTCTATCAACGAATCAATAAACAATCTATAGGGTAAGTCTATCAGTAGTACAGTACAATTAATTATATACAGTGTGGTTCATGCATTTCTCCAGGATGAAAGAAACCTTGAAACTATGAACGCAATGACATTTAAAAGACGATCCGTTCTGTATGTGTGTCACATCACAGCTCAGGGAGAAGGTGCGACAGTGACGCATATGCACCAGAAACTAATTCAGGAGAGAGAGAACAAACGTACGTTTTCTTCCATCAACAGCATGCAATAATTTATCCGAGGATGAAACATAAGCTGCCAGGCTCCCTTGTTTCTATGGAAACTATCAAGTCAATAGCCCAGTTGCTCTGGCATGCGTCCCCACAGTGATTTCTTTTTTTTCTTCTGGGTGTTAAGACACAGTATCTACAGTAAGGCTCAAAGCTGTTAGACAACATGTCTCTGAAGCGTTCCAGGACACAAAATGTCTGTCGAGCACCAGCTGAGGATTGTCTCATGTCTGAGCGTGACGTCTATCCAGAGACACTGGCAGGAAAGAGAGCGTGTCGGGAAAGTAGCTCAGTAGGTTATGATCTGGTGTCGTAGAGCTGCGGAGCTTTGTGGGAGGAACAAGTTCTTCTACTCATAGCTTTTTCCTCTCTGAGATAATCAGACATTCAGACTGGCAACAATAAGACCTCGCTGGAGTGACAGGGACACGAGATAAAGCCGAGTAAAGCTGGAAACCTTGTGAATGAATACACATGCGCTGACCTGGAAACGAGTCAGCATTTTAGCACTCGTCTCAAGGGTCAACGTTTTTTTTCTTAACATGTTTTTGTTACAGGCCTGAAATAAGGTCTGTGGTCAACACAAGCTGAAGAGATTTCATGTTTTTTCTACGACATGAAAAACGTCCGTAAATACCCCACTGTTAAATTACTGAAGCTTCTACGTGTCCTGAAAAGCACTGTTCGTAGCGAGAGTCTAAATGAGACTACTTAATGTCATTTTGTCAAACATTATCTGCCTTTATTACATGGCTTAGTTGAATACTCGATTCTGATTGGTCAATTCAGAACACGTGACACGTTGTTAATCCAGAACAGACAGACCGCTGTCAAGGACTTATTGACCGTTGTTAAGGACGCTCACATCTGCACAAACAAGTCCGTTCGATTTAACTGTATACAGTTTGGCCGAAAAGCAAACATTTTAATCTAGATCGGCATTTCACATGCCGATCTAGATCGGCATTTCACATGCCGATCTAGATCCCTCCGCTTCGCGTCGGGCTCCTGATCTGCCTGTCGGTGTTCTTTTCCCCATAATGACCGCGTCGCTGCACATTATCCCTTACTTAGCTTGTGATGACGTGAAGTCATGTGACCGTGATGTTCAGCAGTTCCTTTATAACCTAATGATTTTTACTTCTGGAGATTGGATGTACGCTTGAACTGTTATAAAAGTGGTGTTAATATGTGGCGATTATCCTGTTGAACATAAACGTGCATTTGCCACAGATCATAATTTCTGCAATATTACAAAATGCAATGGAATATTCCCAATTTCTTCTTGGGAGCACTTGCGATGCTAAATTCCAGGTTGAAGTACATCATATATACGTCATCCATGTACCACTTAATTATGTCATTTTTCTCAAACATTCTGCCTTTAGCTTAGCAGTGGTGAAGTCATGTGGCCGTGATGTAGTTCCTTGATAGCCTAATGTTAGCTTTTTACTTATGGAGATTGCATTTACACATATAAAAGTGGTGATAATATGTGGAGATAATCCTGCCTAACAACATTTTTGTTGGCCACAAATCTTATTTTCTGCAATAATCCAAAATCCAATGAAAAAATCCTATTGGGTTTTTCTAGAGGGAGCCCTTGCAATGATAACTTTTGGGTCAGCGTACAAAAAGACATCATTCATGTACCACTTAAAGTGGACCTATCATGCTATATTTGAATAATATAGTGTAGGACCATACCTATATAAGGCATATTTATACTTTTTTTTTTTCAAAATACCAAACAGATCATGCATTTTAGCCATGCCTCATTTTGCTCAATTTGACAATTTCTAGCTCTGTTTTAGCAAGGGCAGATTCTGTGAGAACAGCACCATCTACAGGCCTGGCATATGTTCTACAGCGTCTCCAGCGCTTTCGAACGGCAATGGCCGTGGTTGTCTCCTCCTGATTGGTGGAGTTGGCCCAATAGCCGTAGCGCCACCGTCCTGACGTCAGTAAAGTGTTCAAATCTGGATCAGTTTTTATCAGATCCGTTGCAGCCCCTTTTTTAGAGATTTGGGTATGGAGGAAAATAGAGAGGGTTGTGTTTTCTGACACTTGGTGAGTTCCCTGGAACACCGGGGACACATATTCATGTATAAAAGACGTACAAAAGTGCATTTTGCATGACAGGTCCCCTTTAATTAACAACAACAAACAGCCTCTCCTCACCTTCTTGAGGGTGGTGCGGGTGCCCTGCATGTAGCTGCGATGCATCTCCAACACCTTCTGCGGCCGGCTGCGGATCCACGCGCTGAGCGTCTCGATGGGCGATCCGTTCACACACCACTCAGTCACTCCAAACTGCCTCAGGTGGGCCCGGGCGTGGCTGGCCAGAGCCTTTCGGTTCTCAAAGTAGAAGCCACACAGCTCGCAACTGGGATCTGAAGAATACAGGGTAAATTGACTTTTCTTTTTTACCTATACAGGTGCAACTAGAGGGTTAATTATCTTGCCCAGGGTCACTAAATGTTGACAACCGGAACATGGGGATCGAACCATCTATCCTTCAAACAGTTGGAAACCTTTTTTTTTTTCTTAAGAAGGTTTTGAAATGAGTAAAATGACCCAGAAGAATCTAATTGGAAAGCTATAATAAGAGATGATGAGTTGAGTTGTAATGTGATTATCTCCTTTAGCATACACTGGATCATACTTTACCAAAGGAAAGGAGATAATGCCGTCCCACATTTCCTAGCAGCAAGATTTTAAGCGACACACCATTCCTTCAATGACCTTTTTAATTGTATTTAAAATATTGTTCTTAGGAGGTGGGATCATGTATTGGCCAGGAAATCTGACTTAAATTGTACAGCATTGAGTCTTTCATTGTACTCAATGTGTTATAAATGAAGTTACAGTCAAAACTAGATAAGTAAAATATGCATTAGAATTTTCTCAGCACCATGGTTGACCCCCTCGTAATTCAACATAATATAATAAAAACCTCCGTACAACTCACCCTGGTGTCCGTGTTTGTCCGGGGAGGGTTTTCTTTTGTAGGAGAAATCATGCGTCAGAGGTGAGAAAGTCTTTAGAGAATGGGTGGTCTCCACTGATTGGCCCTCCTCAGAAAGAGGTCTTTTCCCCAGTGGAGACACCCTGAAGAACTTCCCTGCAGGAGGGGTAGCAGATGCAGACCCCAGACCCTGCTTGTGGAGCCTCGACCCCCCCGACTGCAGCAAACTCAGCGGAGATTTACGGTATTTAGACAACTGGTATCCAGAAACGCCCAAACCGTCTGAACTGCCGATGTTATCCCACAAAGGGCTGCTGGCTCCTGGAGTCGACTCCTTCTTCACTCCCTGGTCTGATCGAGAGGATGTTCCCCCCCCTCGTTTGTGCATGACCTCCCTCAGGGTGTCGATGGGCGAGCCGTTGACCGACCACTCGGTGATTCCCATCTGACGCAGGTGGGATCGGGCGTGGCTGCTCAGGCCTTTACGGTTCTCAAAGTATTCCCCGCAGAACTCGCAGCGGATATCCCTCGTAGGCTCCACCTCATGGGACATGGCTATGGAAAGAGCAGAGGGAGACTTTCAGTGGAGAGAAACGTGGTTATTATCATCTAAATCAGTGTTTTTTCAGAGGTGGAAGAAGTACTCAGATCTTGTATTTGAGTAAAAGTAGAAGTACTCAGGTCTTGTATTTGAGTAAAAGTAGAAGTACTCAGGTCTTGTACTTGAGTAAAAGTAGAAGTACTCAGATTTTTACTTGAGTCAAAGTAGAAGTACCAGAGTGTAGGAATACTCTGTTACAGTAAAAGTCCTGCATTCAAAATGTTCCTCAAGTGAAAGTATAAAAGTATTATCATCAAAATATAGTGAAAGTAGCGACAGTAAAAGTAGTCATTGTGCAGATTGGTCCATTTCAGAACAATATATATGATATGTTTTATAATGATTGATCATTAAAGTGTTCTCAAAGCTGGTAAAGGTGCAGCTAGTTTGAATGACTTTGTATACTGCAGGGTAGCTTGTGAATTTACTCCAGGTGGAACTAAAGTCTGATTTAAGTGTTAATAATTGTGGCAGGAAGCTAGCTTGGGGAGCTCTCTCAGACACCTTTCTGGTTGTTCTTTGTTTACTCAGGCGAACAAAATAGTCCGTGTTCTAGTTTTGAAGAGACAGGTGTTTTGTTTGAAGAGGACGTTTAAGCTTGCTGGGGACCAAAGCACTGTTGAGTAGCTTTTCCCCACACACGGCTCACCAATAGCTAATTATTTGCAGCAACAACATAGCAATTTTTTGGACCTATTAAGTTTAACTGGCCAATTTCCCACGGCACACCTGGCCATCTCTCACAGCACAGTGGTTGAAAATCACTGATACAATCCAATACAATACAGCTTTATTTATAAAGCACTTTAAAACCTCCAGACCAAAGTGCTGTACAGTCAAATAAACATGCAAACCATTAAACAAATCACACAGCTCAGCTCACACACCTTAAACAAGTACAAGCAAAAACAATAAGACGATTTAAAAGCAATAAAAGCAACAATCTACAAGATGTCAATACGCTAAGGAGAAGAGGTGGGTTTTCAGAAGTGATCTAAATGACATTAACATAATATATATATTACCCAGGTTGAGGGGGAACACGCTGTCGGAGCTGCTCCAGCTGCAGTTCAGAGCGTCACCGGAGAATCCTGACGTCCTTCCAACAGATCCAGGAGCTGTGACCTCCATCTGCACCGGCTCGGGCTTCAGATTCAGGATCAGCCCGCTAGAAGAAGAGGTGGGGGGAGTGGAGCTGGATTTAGACTGAAGAGGACTGGCAGGGCGGGCGAAGGCGAAGGGCAGACGGCTGAGGAGGGAGGAGGAAGGAGACGAGGAGGAGGTGGGCAAGGGGGAACGAGGGGGTCCCGGAGAGGAGTGAGGGGGAGATTTGAGAGGTTTCAGAGGAAGAGCACAAGGCAGGCCTCGTCTCGTGATGACTTCTCTCAGGGTGTCGATGGGCGAGCCGTTGACCGACCACTCGGTGATTCCCATCTGACGCAGGTGGGATCGGGCGTGGCTGCTGAGGCCTTTACGGTTCTCAAAGTATTCTCCGCAGAACTCACAGCCTATTTCCTTCGGAGGTTCGCCTAGAGGATTAGAGATGAGAAATGGGTTCAACAGAGAAAGCAAACAGCAGAGATGGCAAAAGTACACGCATCCTTTACTCAAGTAGAAGTACAGATACTCGTGTTTAAAAATACTCTGGTAAAAGTAGAAGTACTGACTAAACTTCTTTACTCAAGTAAAAGTAAAGAGGGCTTCAAAATGTACTTCAGTAAAAAGTACCCATAACTAGCAGCTGTTTTAAAGAGTACCTGACCTCCCTTTATATTAATAGAACAATAATGTCATTGTTAGCTAATGAATGTTTCCATGCTGAACAACGGCAACATGACAACGTTTTCATTGGTCCCTCTTCTTTAGAGAAGACCAGGAAATGATGGATACACGGATCGTGTTCAAATCAATAGGCACGCAATGACTCTAAAGAATAATGATCACGCCACCAAACACACATTCAAACTAAAGGAACCAGCCTGTTTGGGAAATGTAAGAAGTAGAAAGTACAGGTATTTGTGTTCAACATGTAAGAAGTAGAAAGTACAGGTATTTGGGTTCAACATGTAAGAAGTAGAAAGTACAGGTATTTGGGTTCAACATGTAAGAAGTAGAAAGTACAGGTATTTGGGTTCAACATGTAAGAAGTAGAAAGTACAGGTATTTGGGTTCAACATGTAAGAAGTAGAAAGTACAGGTATTAGTGTTCAACATGTAAGAAGTAGAAAGTACAGGTATTTGGGTTAAAAATGTAAGAAGTAGAAAGTACAGGTATTAGTGTTCAACATGTAAGAAGTAGAAAGTACAGGTATTTGGGTTCAACATGTAAGAAGTAGAAAGTACAGGTATTTGGGTTCAACATGTAAGAAGTAGAAAGTACAGGTATTTGAGTTCAAAATGTAAGAAGTAGAAAGTACAGGTATTTGGGTTCAACATGTAAGAAGTAGAAAGTACAGGTATTTGTGTTCAAAATGTAAGAAGTCAAAGTAAAAAGTCGTCAGAAAAATAAGTAGTGGAGTAAAGTACTGATACCAGGACAATGTACTTAAGTACAGTAACAAAGTATTTGTACTCCACTACTTCCCTGTGTCATAATCTTGGGGTTTTTTCTGTTTCATTTTCTTAACACACTCTCTTTCTTCTTGCACTATTTCTATTTTATTTGGATTTACTTTCACTATTTTATCTGTTTTATTTGTTTTATGTCCTATATGTCATTGACATATCTACACTGTAGCGAATGAACACATGACAATAAAGCCTTGAAATCTTGAAATTGAAATCTTGAAATCTTTGTGTCGTGTCTGGCTTCAAGGTTTGAGCAGGCGGTGGACCCAAACACGGAAACCAAAGGAAAGAAGGTATAAATAACCGAAAGCAAGCTTTACAAAACTCATAACAAAAAGCTGGTAACCACAAAACTGAGGAAGCAGGAAATCAAAACAAAGGAAAAGCAGACACAACTAAACAAGGGTAGCAAATCCACAGGGGAACATGAGGAATAATCAGGGAAGAATAAAGACAGACTGATCACATCAGGTAACAAAGACGGGAAACACTAACAACAAACAGAGAGAAAACTGGCTCACATCAACAACAACACACAGCTGGAGAATGTAGGCAACAACACGTGCTGTATCTCAATTGGGTTACTTCAAACTGCTTTGCGTGCACTGTGGATTCATTTCATCCGTGTAGTGTTGTCTTAAATCAAACACCGAAAGTACTGTAACAATAGCCAACTAGCTAGACGGCTAACAGCTAGCAACATTATTGTTTGCAGTAGAAAATCATTACAGATGGTTGAATTAACCCAATAAAATGTATGGTGGCTTATTTTCCCAGCAGTATACCAGCATGATAAATAAATATTGAAAGAAAACCACACATATAATTGTATGTCGGCTGGTACTGAGACTTCCACTACGTAGAAATTATGGCTATCTTTGAGTGCTTTTTGACCGTTAAGAGTGCACCATCCGGGTACTCATAGTGCATTTTGCCCTACTTCACATTGGGCCACACTTATGCAATCAAAATACCAAATGTAAGTACAGAAGTACGCCAAGTGAGACACAGCAAAGGGCAGCAGGGTAATTACACAAAGGTGGATAGAATCAGGGCGAGGGCAAACGATCACAAAAAGGCGGGAAAACACAAAGACTAGAAGTGAAATCAGACATGACAAAAGAAGAGAGTTCCTTTACATAATCAAACAGGAAAAAACTGATTATGATGGATCTAATTCTGACATGTGAAGCCCACTTTATGTTAAGTTTTGTCCCATAAATCCAGTAGACATGACACAAGGGTGCTTTTACTAAATAAAACTGAAAAAAACAAGATCATGACAGATAATTCTGACATGTAAAGCCCACTTTTGTTTCTACTTGTCCCATATCTCCTGTGAAACAACACTCACTGTGCGGCAGGGCCATGAGCTCCCCACTGCTCACATTTTAGACACGCTTATGCACTCAAAATAGCAGATGTAAGTACAGAAGTACGCCAATTGAGACACAGCAAAGGGCTGCAGGGTGATCACACAAAGGTGGATAGAATCAGGGCGAGGGCACACAAAGAAGGGAAACCAGAAATGACACAAGAAGAGTGTTTTTACAGAATAAAACAGAAAACAAAATCATTACGGATCAAATTCGGACATGTGAAGCCCACTTTATGTTAAGTATTGTCCCATAACTACTGTAAACAACACTCACTGTGCGGCAGGGCCATGAGCTCCCCGCTGCTCAGGCGGAAGACCCTCATGGAGGAGGACTTGTTGCGCTTGGCAGGTGGGCCGAGTAACGATGAGGTAGCTTTGGACGTGGCCCCCCCCCGAGCTGTGGTCACCTTGTAGAGGAGGGATGAAGAGGAGGAGGAAGAGGAGGAGAGGCTCAGCAGGGAGGCGGACCGCGGACCATTGTCCAGGTGCATGGCCCCGGCTTTGTGCTTGAAGTCGTCCGTGTCGATGAGCCGGTGCAGCAGGTCGATGGGAGAGCCCTTGGATTCGGAGTACTCCACCCCGAAGTGCCGCAGGTGGGCTCGGGCGTGGCTGGACAAACCTTTCCGAGTCTCAAACCAGGCGCCGCACAGGTGGCACACGATGTCCTTGTTGGGGTCCACCTCCAGCGCTGAACAGGAAGAAGAAATAAGTTAGATAATGCTGCGGTGGAATACTGTTTGTTGCCTCAGGGAGGTTTCGAAATGTGTAAAATCACCAAGAAGAATCTAATTGGGATACCATGATAAGATATGGTTTAATTCTTTAAATGCTAAGGAAAAATTGTTCAATGCTTCCTTTCTTATCTACTTTAGCACAAGGGACCACCAAAGCAAGGGAGAAAATGCCGTCCGAAATGTTCAATTGTTTTCTATGAATACGTGAAATCATTCTTCTTAGGATGTGTGATCCTGTTTTGTACACGAATCCTAACATGAATGGTACTGCACAGTTTGTCACTGTACTCAATGTGTTAAAAATAAAGTTGCTTTTAAATAACCATCATCCATAGCCTAGTATTTTTAACACTACAACCCTTCTCCTTAATAATCTTCCCTTGGGTCCCTTGGGTTATCAGAGGTCAAATAAGTGTGGATAAAAAACAAACATCCGTAGCCTCGTATAAGTGCAGTGGGATTCTCTTAGCACCACAATTGTCTTTTTCTAAGTCCTTAAGAATTCTCCATTGCATCTTTTCTTGACCTCATAAGATTTTCCTTCGAGGTCAAGGTTAAGAGAAGACATTTATTTGTACAGTTTGACCGCAGAAAACAAAACCTCATCATCAGAGAAACTCACTGAGGTTGAGCGGAGCGTCATTCTCCTGCGGCGCCCAGATGGGTTTGTTGGAGAGGTTGGAGTTAAAGCCTTTCATTCCCCCGGCCTTGCGTTCGGGGGAACGTAAGGGGGAAGACACCGGCAGCAGAGAGGAGATGGGGGCTTTCCTCACCACCGAGGAGGGGGATCCAGAGCGAAAAGGAGCCGGAGAAGAGACCGGAGAGGAGGAGGAAGAGCAGGGCCGCACTGCTTTCGCTACTTTGGCCAGGAGGGAGAGAGGGAGGGGCTTCTCGTCTAAGTCCATGTCTCCTAATGCCTCATCTTCCCGGGGATCAGAAGGAGAGGGGTTCTTGGCGGAGAGGGGCTCCAGGAGAGAGGAGATTTGTTTTTGGCCGTCCACGTGTCGCTGCTTGGAGATCTGGCGGAGGATGTCGACGGACGCCCCCCGGATCTCGGAGGCGCTGAGGCCCAGCCGGCGCAGGTGAGAGCGGGCGTGGATGGAGAGACCCCGCCTCGTGGCAAACTGAGATCCACACACCTCACACTTCAAGGAGCGGACTGCAGGGGCAAAGGAGGCAACAACAGCAGGTGAGAGAGGGACTCTATTATATTTCTGAACGCCTGATTGCGGGTTTTTTCTAAGAACTAGAATTGAAAATCTGCTCAAAGAGTGTAGGGAAACCTGTTCAGAGACTAAGAATAAACATACCATAATAATAAATTCACCAAAAACATTGTCTCTGACCCCAACCATGTCGTGAACAGTGAATATGAATTGTTACCATCAAGTCGGAAGTGCAGGATCCAACAACTTAATAAGGTTAGACTGAACAGAGTTGGTGTTTTTTAGGTGGTGCCAAACAGACACGATGTGCGGATGTGTGTGTAAGGCAGCTCATAAAAACATTTATGATATATGTGAGTGACCTCTGGCCTATCGGTCAGTGCATCTGTAGGTGAGACATTATAAATAAGGCTGCACAATTAATTGAAACTGTATTGAAATTGCAATATGGACTAGTGCAATGTCAAAATCCAAAAAGCGTAATATTTGGTTATCAAATCATTTATATTAAGTATTCTGAATAGGTGTCAGAATAAATCCCAGGATTCAAATCGGAGTGTTATGCGCATTATTTATACATTTCATAAAGTAACTGATCCAATTGACATTCTGCAAAGCAACAGCAGGTGTCCCAGGTTCCTTCAGAGGCCACAGAAACCCCAGAGGAAATGTCACCTCACTTACACTTCCTGTCTACATCCTCACCCACTCTGCGGGAACACTTGCCAAATTAGCTTCTAAATACACGTGTCTGCCTGTGAGGATTTCCCCGGGGAGCCCCCCCTCTCTGATGCAGTGCCTCCGAACTCCTCAATGCCGACCCGAGGTCCCTTTTTACAATTTCCCCCACTGACAGCTACGATAAGGCTCGAGCTGTAGCAAATCCAATCCCCTGTCAACACGGTGGAGGTCAGCGTTCGAGGGAAGACATACTTTAGTTCCCGCCTCACCCTTTGAGTCTGCATCCTCCCCAGGAGAGAGGCTTCCCGAGTCCAGGCTGCGCTGCCTTGTTTCCCCGGAGCTCAGACCCTCCGGAGTGGGAAGCTGGAGCTGCTCCTCATCCTCAGCTGCTTCCTCATCCTCACCTATAACACCACAAACTGTGTTTTAATATAAAGAGTAGAATATATGGCTGAGAGCTCTGTGAAATCTCACCATGGATATATCACATTAACCAGTATTTCTTCTAAAACACTGCCCAAAACACACCTCTTCAGACTGTAGCTATAGTGCATACGACAATAAGGAAAACTATCAACACATCTCTGGTAAATTATAATATGTAAAGTAGTGCTTTCCCCAGATTCTTGTGGAGAATCTTAGTTCAACAGATTTAATAATTAAATCAACTTATGTGAGTGAACAAAACGTTAAAACGCCTAAGAAATGTTTAAGTCGAAGACAGCCCTTGTGTAGAAATGCCAGATAAGTGATAATGCTGCGGTCCTGTGTCCTGGACCCTCTATCCTGAGTCCTGCATCCTGAGTCCTGGACTTCGAGTCGTGGCTGAACCTGTCTCTGCGGTCCTGCCTGACTCTCATCATACTACTTCCCTGATGGCTCCCACAGGATTGCTGACATCCTCGTGGATTCATCTTCTTATTATAGACACATGCATTTCCAAAGCATTTGGTCTGTAAAATGTATTATCTCTTCGATTTACACACGGCATCTATTGCACGTCTGTCCGTCCTGGGAGAGGGATCCCTCCTCTGTTGCTCTCCCTGAGGTTTCTCCCATGTTCCCCTTTAAACTGTGGGTTTTTCTGGAAGTTTTTCCTTGTACGATGTGAGGGTCTAAGGACAGAGGGTGTCGTATTGTCATACTGATATTCTGTACAAACTGTGAAGTCCACTGAGACAAATGTAACATTTGTGATATTGGGCTATATAAATAAACATTGATTGATTGATTGAATCAATCCTCTTAAAATAAAGTGCTGTTTTTCACATGACTTATTGTGGAGGGACTCAATTGTACAGATGTATGAATTAAATCTGCTAATCAATTAGTCAACAAAGACATAAGAGCCCTTCTGTAGAAATGCCATGAGAATGAGGCCTATTGGATGATACTACATTTAAATAAAGTGATGTTTTACATGACTTTTTTGTGGAAATACTCATGTATTGATAAAATCAGATAATCAATTAGTCAACAAAAGATAATTAGTGTTTGTCAAATAAGAATATCTTCAGTCGAGTACAGCTCCTGTGTAGAAAGGCCATGCAAATTATCCTAATAAGAAAGAATAAACCATCTAAATATCAAGTAATGTTTTGATTTCTGATTCAATCAACTGATTGATAAGTCGACCAAATAATGTGTCAAAAGACAAATAATATCTTTATAATATCTGTCATAAATCAATCAGATTTAATTTTGTCTGCACCTAATATAAATCAGCTGTTCAAAGCATGAACATACATATTTGAGGATGAATAAAAGACGCAGGCTGGGGGCAGAAATATCCTGTAATGTATCCCTCCTTAAAATAACAAGAGTATAAAAACATCTTCTGTATGATGCACATGGAAATAAATCAGCTCCTGTCACACACACACAAAGTAAAACTGCACTACTGTATGAAACAAACATGGCAGTCTCTCTGGTTCCCCGCAGTCAGGCATTCCTGGAACAAAAGTGCCATTTTCTGCGACAAATCGGTAAATCAAAAGCGACGTGGAGACAGACAATGCTCTCTGTCTGGTGGGCGGATCTGCGCGTGTCAGTTCATCTGTGGACTGTAAAAGATGTGACACCTCGCGCAGCGTTATAACACCATCTATTATAACGGAGACAATGCGTAATCAGACGGGTATTTATATCTAAAAAACGCAACTAAACTTGACTTTGTATCCGTTCAGGGAGAGTGACACCTCCCGAAGTAAAAGTGATACTTCCATTATACTCCGGATAAGTTGTAATAGGATTACCCGGGGATCAGAGCACAAAGTTAGCACGTTTTGGGGAAATCTCACTCTTAGTTTACCATTTGAAAATATGCACAAATGATTGCACATGAAAGCACAGCGTGTCCTCTATAAAAAAAAAATCAAAGCACAGTAAAAATGGCGAGGATTGGGCAACTGTGGGGAATTTATAGAGATCCTGCAGCAGTGAAAAAATACTGGACGTCATCCCAGACACACACACACACACAAAAACACAGATCACAAAGAGCCGAAATCACACATGAAACACACACACACTGACCCGCTTTATGAGCTTTGAACATGCATGTCCTGCAACATTGTTCACCACATACTCTCACATGATGAATACTTTTTTTAATGGCTGTTGTCTGACTACATTTTAACAGAATAAAAGATGCGCGGAGAGATTACGCACGGAAATGCGCGGTACTCACCCGTCCGCAGTGCATCGGACTCAGCCGAAAACCAGACAGTTTTCTCCGCTATTGTTTGGGTCTACGGGGAGGTGGAAGCAGCCATTTTGCCCCCATATGCACCGCTAAGCTAAGGCGTGACCAATCGAGTGGAGGCGGAGGTTGGGTAAATGCACCGAGTGCCACATAACCACCGGGCATCAGGGACTCTCTCTCTTTCACACACACACAGACACACAGACACACAGACACACACACTCCCACAGACGGATTTTCTGCACAGACACCCTCCTGATTCTCTTCACTCACTGTAGCCTGTGGCGGTGTCACCCAGGTCAGACAGTCCAGTGTTTTTTCAGTAAACAGCTTACAAAGGCACTTAAAACAGCAGCAGCAGCAGCATCTAAACTCACATTTTCCACCGCTTTATGCATAGTTACAGTCTTCTGTATTCATCCAGGCAACATTTCTGAGTTTATAGAAAATCTGTGACAAGTTTAATAACTAAAAAGCTGCTAAAACTAGTCGAATTGTCGATTAGTTGAGACATAACAGTAGCCAAGAAATATTTTGATAATCGTTAGAGTAATTATTCATGCACAATGGCAGAAAATGATGTTTTCAGCATCTCGATTATGGTTATTTACTGTTTTATTATCATATTTAAGTGATCATCTTTGGTTGACTGACAAAGCATTTAAAGACCTCACCTTTGAGAAACTCTGATGGACATGTTACACTATTTTCTGACATTAATTAGACTATTTATACATTTAATTTCCTAACAATTAAAAATTAATTGATTCTCATAGTAAAATCAGCACAGCTTAAAACAAAAAAGCAGACAGGGAGGGAGGGACAGTGGTATGTAAACGAGCAAACCAGCTGTTTAATGCTGAGTGAGTATGCCAATCTGAACAGGTGAGTTTTGAGGCAATAAGTTATTAAACAATTAACTGATTCATCTAGAAAGTAATCATCAGATTAACCCACTGATTAGCGACAACAAGAAACCACTAAGTAAGGTACATTAGTACTTTTAAGGACGGATCAATAATGAAAACTCACCTTCGCTCTCTTCTTCCCCGTCCTCCTTCTTGCATCGTTTAGGAGATCCTGAAGGCAGTGAATCTCTCAGCATCCTTTCACTCTCCGTCTCCTCCTCCAGCTTCACCATTACGATCCCGCTCCCCTAGTTCCCTCTCCTCCTCTTCATCTCCTTCCTCTTCTTCTTCCTCCTCCTCCTCCTCCTGTGAAGAGCCGGAGCTCCGAGGGGGATCGGTGGGGATTACAAGATCAGGCCTGCTGAGGAACAGCTCCCTCAGGATGTGGATGGGAGAGATGGTGACGTCCCAGTTGGTGATGCCGAAGTCTCGGAGGTGAGCCCGGGCGTGGCTGGAGAGGCCGGCCCGGGTGTCGAACCCCGCGCTGCAGAACTCACAGTGCATCACGCTGAAGGTGCTCGGGTCAAAGTTGGCAACTGTGGAGAGGACAGGCAAAACAAGAGGAGGTTTAGTGCCATGTTCCCAACCTACAGTATAGGGCTCGAAACCAGTTGAATCAGAGACATGTGTTTGATTGATATACCCACGTTGGTGTGTATGTTGGTAATCCAATTTAGTTTGCCATGCAATTTCAAACCAACCTTCATAGTCCTCAGAGGATAAATATTTTTGACTTTTTACTTTTGTGCCACTAGCAGGCTGATAACTGATTTAAATGATACCTTATAGATGTAGGTCAGAATAAGCCTGCTTCATAAACTAGTCGTTTTTTTCATCTATTAACATGCTTCATAACCGAACAAGGAAATCAAAGAAGATGACACTGACTTCTAGCGACAGGTAACATGACTTTTGCATGCTTAAACCTAAAAAGGTTGTTTGTTTTGTGTTCAAAGCTCTACGTGTTTTTCAGTTTTCAAGTGCAGTTTGGCCCATCTAACACATTAGAATAGTAGCAAGTAACGCTGATAACGCCTATTAAATAGGCTGATAACATTTGAAATGGCGGCAAATGACATTTGGGATTCTTGGTATACGGTCTCGACTTGTAATTACTTTGATGACCCCTTAACTATTTTTCTAGATGGCTTTGGTTTAGGACTAAATACCTGCAAACTCTAATAATCTAATCCAGCTAATACAGCAATCTTGCAAGCCCTTCAGATTTATGTTGTGACCTTTCTTTGTCTAGTCTGCTTTATGTGCCAAACACCACTTCTTAAAGCAGTTCATATCAAGAGTTCTCAGCTGTTATTCAAGAAGAAGTGTTAACAAAATTAAGGAAATCTGTGGCTGAAATTATGAGAAGTGGCTAAAGTGTGTGGCGTGTGGCGCAGTGGACTAGTGCGTTGGTGTTTGGATCAGGGGGTCACAGGTTCAAACCCCACTGCAGTCAGCATGTCGTTGTGTCCCTGAGACACTTCACCCCAAATTGCTCCTGTGGGGATTGTCCACAGTATTGAGTATGTAAGTCACTTTGGATAAAAGCGTCTAACATGTAACATGTAATGTAATGTAATGAGAAATAACAGGCCTTTTCTGTCTGGCACATCCACACATCCTAAAGAAATAACCCCAACGAGCTGCTGACCTTTTTTCTTCTTCTTCTGATAGGAGAACTTCTTCTCAATGGCGTTGACCTCCTCGGGGGAAATGAAGTGGCGGACATTGTAGCTGACGCCCACTCTGTTCAGGTGGCCTCTCACGTGATTGGCCAGCCCGATGCCGTTATGAAACCGATCGGGGCAGTAGGGGCATTTCCTCTCCACGCTCCTGAGCGCCTCCGAGTCCTCATCCATCTCGTCCGAGTCCACATCCAAGAAGCCCTCTGACAGGAAGCGCCGAACACTTTCTTCGTCGATGTCTTCGTCGTCGTCATCGCTGTCAATTTCTGCCAGAGCAGCGGGAACCCGGTGGCTTCTCCTCAAAAGTAAAAGCTTTCCATCTTTCTCCACTTCCAGGTCATCTTCTTCCTTCACACACTTCTTAAGAGGGAGGGACAGGGAAGCGTTCTGTGCTGAGCAGTCCTCTAGAAAGGAAAAGACAGATTCAGAATGAACAGACAAGAGACCCAAAAAAAAAACATTTTCCAGGATATTTTTCACAATTTGGGTTTTATCTTATTACTTAAGACGAATAACTATATCATTCCTATTCATAGTGATCACATTAGCTTCTTGTTTGTGACTTAATGTTAAAACCTTAATGTATTCCATTATTTTTTGTTATTCTTTGGGAAGGTTATACATTTGTGTAATGTCTTGCTGAAAAAAACAAGAATGCCCCAAAAAATGATATGTTCTGTATGATCTGGTTTTCACAATAAA